CGAACTTTGGGTACCTAGGGTTGCGGCTGGTCACCCTTCCCTTGCACCTCGCAAAATGCTCTCATACAACCAAGCGTCTCGAATAGCCTCTGCTGAGGAAGCTCTACTCACTGCCTTTTTGTGGCGGAGGTACTTTCACACCAAAGAGAGAGGATGAAATGCCGACATCCGGGCTTTAACCGGGTTGGTGAACCACTGGTAGTTCACCTAGGAGAGTTGGTCCAAACTCTTGATTCCAAACCAACCAAGAGGAGGCATACGAACCACACTCCCCCACACCTTGGTTGTACCGGTGGTCATCGGCCCAAGTGGACATCGATTCGATTGATTGCGGCTTTCACACACTGCCCGGCTGCCTTGTGGGTCAGACTTTGGCTAGGCAAAGGCACCGGTTGTGAATGCCCCAAGAATATGCACCTGCCTTGGCCTGAGCAACCTGGCAGTATTTCGTGGGCAGACAAATGATGGAACTTTCTCTTTTTTTACAGAGATTATCGTTTGGCACACGGTCTGGCCTCAGACGTGTGTGAAATATGAGATATAATCTAAACTCGGGACCAGTGCCCCGTTCACTTAAAGATAGCACTTGGTAGGGCACGGTCTGAAGGTAAATCCTAGAATAAATAGGCCGGGTGATATTGAGGATGTCATTTTTTACTACATTCAGAAGTTTCATCATAGATTTATCCATGCAGCCGATTCAGCCCCACGCAAGGCACGTAAAATCGACTAGGGCGTTCGAATTAATACATGCCAAGACATTCTTAACGAACTTTATTCAAAATATCTATCCCTGAGTCCTTGATTTGCTCCTGAAATAGCTTACATGGAGTAATCAACCAAACTATCAAACCTGTATGGGTTACTTAGTTATTAGTTAGATGAAATACTCCACAAATAATTAAAAGGTGGTAATTAGACTGGGGAAATCGTGAAAACTATACAGATTGCTTGAAGTTTCGAGAAAAAGAAACGATCAGAATAAACAAACTCTCAGCCCAACACCACCACCCAATCTCATCCAGCTTTATCGATTGGATGGGAGGTAGGCAAGTGGACTGATATCGCTCACCTTGTATGCGGAAGTGATGATAGTGATTGGGATAATGTTGCAGAACATGACGAACCAGAGCAGATAGAAGTCCAGACGGCGTAGGACTTGTTTTGGTGTGAGATTCACTTCGCTGTGAAAACGCATTCAATCGTACGAATGCGCACGCACGCACGCACATGCACACGCACGCACACAAACACACACATGCAGGAGGTAAAATGAGAGTGGGGCAAAAAATGCAACGGATCAGTGACAAAGCGAGAAACGAGGAAAGAGAGAATGAAATGCGTACAAAAAACACATGGAGAAAGAACATGCAACGAACGTGATTAAATTGAGAGGAAAATGTAGGACGCTGTCCGTGAACCGAAACCCCAAACCGTCCGAACCAGTCTGGTATTTAGTCGGCGGTTGACATCGATCGATTGTGAGCACAACACAATGCAAACAAAAGCAAGCCGTCCACGGGAACCGTTGAATAAACGTGACTAAGCCAACAGACATGTCGGTTTTGCAATGGATAAGTTTCTGACAAACACACACAATCACCAAATTGAAAGCAGACGTTTAAGTACCCGAAGCCGAGAACAACAATACGAAACAGGCGATCTGACGAATGAATGAAGGACCGGTTTTACAACGCTCGGAGTAACACAAACAACTATGTGC